GGGAATTAGTATTTGGAAGAATTGAGATGAAAGGGAATTAGTATTTGGAAGAGTTGGGATGAAAGGGAATGAGTATTTGGAAGAATTGAGATGAAAGGGAATGAGTATTTGGAAGAGTTGGGATGGGAATTAGTATTTGGAAGAATTGAGATGAGCGGGAATTAGTATTTGGAATAATTGAGATGAAAGGGAATTAGTATTTGGAAGAGTTGGAATGAAAGGGTTGGAAGAGTTGGAAACCACATGAGAACTTTTGGATGCGTGTTCATGTTAGATTGATCCATGGGTTGTTTTTCCAAGGGAGCTTATGGGATAGGATGTGAACTGATGAGGGAGATGGAAAGGGTGGTGAGAACCAGGAAGGTGAGGAGATGAAGATCTTGAATACTAGCAAAAAAGAAAACAATAAAGAATTACAAATACAAAGTACACTATATTTTTTCTGGGGCAGCTGGGATTGATTAATAGGGGGAGGTGGTCCTACTATTGGGGGGGTAGGGCCTTTGTGAGGGGTACCCTTTGTGAGCTTGAACAAGTTAAGATGTTGATAGAGCTTTAATAAGGGAAAATGAAAGACTTTTGCTAGAGAGTTTTTAGGTTTTTGGGGGATGGTTGGTAGCATGAGACCTGAGGAGGAGCCATCAAAAGGATTGGTGAGCAGGATGAGGCAGTTGAGAGGTGGTGGTGAGAATCAGGAAGATGAGGAGATGAAGATACATTGAATACTAGCAAAAAGGAAAATAATAACTTTAAACAAAACACAGATAAAAGTATCCAAGCAGCTGGGATTGATTAATAGGGGGAGGTTTCTGCACAGGAAAAATACTATTAGGGTGATGCCAAGGTGGAAATCTAGGTCTTCAATTAGTTTAGTATTGGAGGGGTCGAGCTGGGATTGATTAATAGGGGGTGGTTACTTAATCCTAGGTGCGCATTACTCGGAACAACACACCTAGACTCCCAAGCTATCATTTATTTGACAAATCAACCCGAAAGCATTCATCAACCGTGTTGAATTTTTGCATTGCTTTCTGTCGAAATACGACTTGTTGGAAACCCCTATAGGGCCTGTAGGGCACGTTTTTGAGCCCGCCCCCATGCAGCGGCTGGAGGCATATTTTGATAGATAGTGGTATTATTGCAGATGAGTCCAAACCTGTGCTTGGGGTTTCTTTAGATCACAGCCGTGCTACCCTGCTACGAGCCACGGTGGCCACAGCCAAGGTTCAATGTTGAAAACCTTGCCTTTCAACAAGAGCAAGCTGAAATCACTGCAATGGCAGCTACTCCGGCATGTTTGCTTTCTTCCGGGACTCCCACATGGGTTCCCACAGCTGTTCCAGTTTGTATCGGGGTCAACAAGGCACACTCTATATATAAGGTACACTTTTGGATGGCGTGATTTGTATTGATTTGGGTGATGAGTTGGTTTGAAATCCATGGGCTTGATATATCAAAGGTTTGATGTATCAGATTACGATAGGAAGTACACTCCCTGGAAGTAACGATCATGGAAGTGGAGAATTGCCGCAGGGGTTTCCCACTTCCATCTTAGTTCGAGGGAGTGTATGGGAGGGAAGAAACTCCTTTCCGGCCCAGGACCTGTTGTTTGGGTCGTTGGGTGAGAGAACACACAGCACAGCTTTGCGCTGCGGCCAGGTGAATGCCATGGCTGCTGGCCACAAGACATTGAAGGCCATGTCTTACCACGTGCTGGGGTGAAGCCCAACGGATCAAAGCCCCCCAACCACTGGGACGGGGGGCCGTCCATCTGAGAATTCCAAGGTGAGAGTGGTGGACTAAAAAAGCCTACCAACGGTCGGTCTTTCAAGGGTCCGCCTATTCTGAGAGACTTGGATAATTTTGAGAGATCCATACATTGTAACAATAAACATGTAGCTGGGAATTTGTACGTATGAATTTGTCCTGCTTGGCGTGAGCGTGTGGGCTTGTCTGAAACTGGGGCAACCCACCACTCACCGTCACAAAGGCACATCGCAACTAGAAGGAGAAATTGGGCTCACTTCTCACCACGAATCTTCTTGTTTTCAGGATCAAACCGAGCAAGTGGACATTGGCGCTGTGGACAAACTCATGGATGACATGGCCGATTTGCAGGATGAGTCATGGCCTCGGCTCTTGGGGTTGCAGTTGACGCTTTGACGAACCAAACAGCGCACCACGGTCACCCATTTGCCGAGGATGAAGGCCATGAATGAAGCCTTGGCACAAGGGACTATGGTGGATGGTGCTGCGGATGACGAGTTGGCGGCAGAGCCCTGGGCTGCAGAACGATCGAAGGGACTATGGATGGGAGCCCCCGGTGTTTTATACTGATATTGTAGAAACTACAGAAGATGGTAGAAGGTGTCCGAAGTGTGTTGCTTCCACTCCAAGATGCATCTTTGCAGTAGCAAATCCATCATGAATAAGGAAATCAGGCTGTTGTTTTTCCGGGTCATCCCACCTTCCTAATCATCCAGGTCATCATGCCCCGAACTTCCAGGATCCTGTTGTCCATCTTTGACAACATGTGACAACATTTGTCAAGGTTGTTAGCGCAGGGGTGGGGAGATAGTTTTTAAGCCACATTTGGAGGTAAGTTGATGTTGGTCAGTTATATAGTTGATCGATCAGCTAGTTGATGGTTGGTTGCTTGCTTGCTTGCTTGCTTGCTTGGTTGGTTGGTTGGTTGGTCGGTCGGTCGGTCGGTTGGTTGGTTGGTTGGTTCAATTTGTTCTTGGGTAATGGTTGATGTGTGGGTGACCGTTACCGGACGGTGAATGAGAAACAAGAGAGAAAACAAACAGGAGTTCTCCACGGTGGACGGGAAAACGACTATCGGACTATCGCTGCGTTTTCACAGCGCGGCGATGATCGCCGCATCTCGCCATCATGGCGCGGCTAGGAATTCGCCAAGCTGGAAGAGGCGCGTGACTGAGCGAGCGCCATTCGGGTACGGGGGCGGAATGGAGCGGTTTGAGAGGTTTGCCATGGGATAGCTGTTGATTCGTTGATAGGGATGGTTGGTTGACAGAGCTCGGGAAGTGGCCAAGTGCATAATTATTAATATGGCCTATGGGCCTATGCCCATAGATATATAATTATATATATATATTACATTGTATTATATATATAAGTCTACTCAATGTCAAAGATATACATCCCGACAGGTGAAAAGGGTCAAGGCACATGTTTCCGACATGTACATGCTCAGCTGAGCGTGTATTGTAAACAATCTATCAAGCTCTGATGGTCGCTTTGTCCATAGCGGTTTGTTTTCAGCAGATGAAGCAGCTTCCAACCATGGGCAATACGGTTTGGAGGGCTCGTATCGGATGTAGCATGTCATACCTCTTTCACTCATGTGGATCCGATCCAGGGACCTGGACCTGCGTGTGACCCTGCGTGTAGCTGCGTGCGGACTCATCGTGTGACGAGAACAAAAACGCCAAAAAAAGGAACAACTCACGGAATGCACTGAACAGAATATATCCTCTCACTTCCATCCTTCTCATGGGGTATCAAGACTGCAAAGCAACAAGTGGCCGACTTAGCAGACCCAGGCCTTTGGACACATGCCTCCGGGTTTTCCAAGTGAGACCCATAGAATCCATAGATGATGGCATTATTATAATTGCAACTGCAGTGCCAAAGGTCTCCTTGAGGCAGCTTTAAGCCTGCTGACATGAACCAGCCAAACACCAATCAAATAACTAATCAACTTATGTAAAGTGAAAAGCGCCAGAATCTCGTTCACAGCCGCTTCATTTTCCTGGTGAGGCATTACCACAAATTGTTTATGAGTCAGGAAGCAGCTGCCATGACCTTGGCTGGAGCGATGGGTTCCACGGAGAAACCTGTCGGGGCAGCCAGCGGGCTCATCGTGTCGGAGTTGCTATAGCACCTGCTATGCCAAAGGACAGCCCGCTTGTTTGATTTCGAGGAAGAACAATTTCTCTTGTGATACCCATCCCCTGAGAGCACCAATGGATATGCTTGAGAAATGATCATGTACCACCATGTACCACCTGAGCACCCGGAAATACGAAGGGATCCTAACATGTCCCAGGATATTCTTGTTGCGAGGTTTCAATCCCTCTTGAGGTTCCCAATCTCTCAGTTTTCCATGCACGAAACCGGAACACAGTCGACACATGGCCGTCAACTGCACCGGTCGAAGTGGAACTTCATGGATCGAACACCCGTGCAGCGAGCCTTTTCGTACGCAAAAGAAGCGAAGGAATTTTAACCTAAGAAAAAACCATCCAACATCATCCCACCATCCAACGTCATAACATGTCATAACCAGCCCAACCAATTTGGTCACGACCAGCCAGCCTGGTAGAACGAATTCCAAGGCCGCCGAGCCCGCCGGCGGCTACGCCGCGCCCTCGGCCGCCGCGGCACCGGTGGGAGAGGCTTTGCCCAGCGCGCCACCCTAGAGGGAGACCTGCGCTACGCATAACGCGCAGCTGCGCAGTCATCGCCCCCTTGGGTTGGTTAATGATCATGATGAACAGAGGTAAGACCCCATAAGTGTATATCAAACCGACCTCATTGAAGCAGCTTGGCTTGTCTTTTGCGGTGAACGGTTGTCTTGCAACTCCGGGCGCCGGGATCACAGAGGCCCTTGCGGCATTGCTTCATCGTTTCACTATTTTCGGGGCACTTAGCAATAGAGGACTAGGCTGAAATAGGGACTCTGGAAGCTGTTTGGCTTATGCACAAGACGTTGTTTCGGGTGGGTGTTTTACTTGGCGGTCTACCAAATTCAGAACTTGCGGATTTACAGTGTCGGTGATCAGTTCCTGACACAGGCCCCGAGAGATTCAGGTGGCTGCTGCAGACTGTACAGAGCAAGCCACGGTAGCAGTTTGGGAGCACATGATCAGCTTCTCAAGAGCTCGGAGAAATGTGTCATGTCCAGCAACGATGTTTATTCATGTTTGCTTTTTGTGCGATGTTATCCATGTCCCAACATGATAAGTTGGTCATCGAACCGATTGGCATGTGTTTAGCTAGTTCTCAAAGCTACCATTTCCCCTGCCGGCGGAGTTGCTTGGGTCTCTCAGTTGTTTTTGCTTGCAAAACACCATATGGGTTTAAAGACCATGAAGAGTTACTATATATATCACGCGATATGCACACCGTAGTATATCATAATATACCATATTACCAGCACCACCCAAAGGGTTGTTTATAGACCCCCCTGAAGATCTATTTTCCATCTAATAACAACCCTTTGGGTGGTGCTGGTGTGTATATATATATATAGATATTAACTTTGTAGTTATATATATACATATAATACATATGCACATATATATATATATGGAGCTAGCATTTTGGAGCAATTCACTGTCACTTGGCAGTGACAAATGCCGAGCTCCTCTTGATCCCAGCAAGAACGATGGCTTTGAGCAACATGAAGACTTCGAGGTTGAACACATGAACACAAAGCTGAAGGCAACTTGGCATTTGCAGACAAAACCAACCACTACAGATATGACTACCAAACCATTCCAACCCATTGGACTACTGTCATCCATTGTGGTCAATCTGCTCGCCCAACAAACGGAAATTGGCGCTTCAACGCCACGGCACACGGAGCAAATGCTGCATGATGCACCATGAGCCCTGGAGTGGGGGAGCTCAGCTCGCCTGGCTGTTGGGCTCATTGAGTCTGAGTCATCCAGAGATCCTTGTGGCGATTTTGACGGAACTGTTGATCGTGGGCTCATAGATTGGGGCAATATGGTGTGTTCATGTTGCTTTTTTTTGTAAGCGGTATGATTTGTTGGAAACCCAAACATGTGGACTGCACAAGTCACAAGGTCACCTTTCAGTTCCATCAGTTGCCCAGGTGTTGAAAATTGGAAGCTAACCCAGCTAGCTGATCATTGACTATGAACTAGGATGGGTCACAAGATTCACAAGATGTGATAATGACGATGATGATGATGATGATGAGGAGGAGGAGGAGGATGACGATGAGGATGAGGATGAGGATGAGGAGGATGAGGATGATGATGATGATGATGATGATGATGATGATGATCCTGTTGGTGGTGCTGGTGGTAACGTCAAATATGGTGTGGGGTGGATTTTTTACTTTTTACTAAGTGCTTCACCATGACTTCAGAGTCATCTTGGCGTCCACATGGTGGCCTCTTCGCATAGTACCGCGTGTCCCTCCCCGGCTCCATTTGCAGGACCATCAGTAACGAGGTTCCAGTGAACGCCCAGTCACTCCCCACTCCAAGGTCCATGGTTTTCATATGGTTTCATATGTTTTCACAGGTAGTCACAGGCCTGGTAGTGAGTCAGCGTGAGTGCTAAGCCTCCGCAGCGGCCATGTCTTTGGTTTTGTGCCAAAACATCACTGAAAGGCTAGTGCTGTCTTGGGATTAGACCTTGCTTGTGGGATTAGAGGTGGGGTCTTTGGTTTTGTAAGTGCTTTGCCGGAGAGCTATTCTGACAAGAAGTACTCTTCTGTCAGTCATGTTCTGAGCACCCAGTCTTCTCCGAGGCCGGCGACGCAGGCGTTTTGGGCCTGGTGAAAGCCAAAACCGGTGGGTTGGGTTGAGGGAAACCTGTTGGGATGGTTCAAAAGTTTGCAGGTGGCAGTACTTTGGGGATGAACAGACATATGGGGAAGGAGGTAGGTGAATCCTTTGCGACGCAGCCGCGACATGCTTGGTAGAGAAAACAGAATGAGAATCAATGGAGTGGATCCCTCCAACCGCTGGGTGAACTCATGTCTTTTCGCCGCACCAGAAGCTATGGGACTGGACACCGTGGTGGGGAATACCCAGAGAGGACCCGGACAGAACCGTCCAACACCCGGACGCAAAGTGCAGAAGGGGTGGACCACCCTCGTGTGACCACCTACCCTGCTGGAAAACACACTCACGTGGAGCCTTTAAAGAAAGGGCTACAGTATGTTCCTAGTGATGTTCCTATTGTTTCGGAAGGAACTCCCATGTTGGATTTGAAGGTGCTCCAGGAACTGCTCATGTTTGTATCACCCAGCACGACTCAGGGCAGTCCACTTGAAGAGTCGAGTGACACCATGCGACACCTGGTCAACAACTGGGTCCCTGAGGCCAACACAGCGTGTGAAGTCCGCTTTTCACCACGCTTCACCCTGGAAATTAATATATATAGTTTCATCTTCATGTCTATTCCCAGACACTCCATGTATGTCATACTTGCCTACATTGGGGTGGTTTCGTGGGTCAATGTAGGCACATATTCCAGTCCCGTGGAAGCTTCCGCAAGACGCCCTCCTTCAATGCTGCCAGGCTCCAATCGACCCGCAACTCGGCAAAGTCTCGCAGACATGGTCTGTACCATAGGCATGTCATTCAGCAAAGGGGGCAAGGGATTTGTTGCGCACTTGTCGACCCGCCAGACAGTATCAGTCCTAATTTGCATCCATTTTGTGTTATTTTTTAGTCCTTAGTTTGTATGTATTACTCCCTTGTTTTTTTCCAAACTGATCATTTGGACCAGCTGGATATGAATGTTCAAGCCGTATTTAGATCCGATCTTCTCCTAAGGCACAAGGCGGTGGCACTGTACGGAGCCCAGTGGCAGCCCAGAATCCAGGTCCTAGCTAGATTCCATACCTTGCTTTCTGTGTTGGGCATGCATAAGCCCCAGAAGACCTTTTGCCACTTGGACCTATACATGGGTTGGATAGGTGAGCTTTAAAAAGCTCTGGACTCACCGGTTGAGATGTCCACTGAGGATGCAGAAGCCAAGCCGGAGCCCCAAAAAGGTTTGGGAGGAGGTGCTTGGTCAGTGGAGATGAGGATAAAGGTGGCCACCATGTGATTCCATGAAGGACGATTGGACCAAATTGATGCTGGATTGATGTGGACCTTGCCTGGTTGAATTATATTCCCACGACCATACCCAAGAGGTCCTTATAAGCATAGATGTTGCATGATGTTGCCCATTGTTCAGCAAAATGTATCCAGAATACTCAGCATTTCAAGATCTTTTCTTGGTGAGGGTAGTGGAGAGGGAGCAGTATCCAGGATGAAGCCACTTTCTTGACACTTGTGACATGACTCGTTGTGCTGGCTCAAAGCTGCTGCCATGCTGGCTGCTCCGCGCCTCGTGAGCACTTCTTGGCCAACCTTCCCAGTGGACACTCGACGGTGAACGACTCGACGGTCCGGAGCTGTTGGCAGCGTTTGTCCATCGTTTTTGTCACCATCGAACCCAACAGGGAACTGATTTGAACCCAGTTAGTAGCACACTTCGAAGAAACGCACACAAATCATGACACATGAAGGACCCCTGGTTTGTATCTTGTGTTTTTAGCATCAAAGCGGTGGTGAAGTGGAGGTCAAATTTGATTTAGTAAAAGACAATGCCAATCCCAAGAGCAAAGAACAATATAAACAAACATAGCACTATAAAAGACAACTCCCAAATACAAAGTGGACTGTGCCTTTTTTCCTGTGCCTTTCTATTTTATTGTGTTGGACTTCTGATTGCCTTTTTGATTGCCTTTTACTTTCTTGTTTAAGCCTTTTGATTTGCCCGTACTGGATTTGCCCGTACTTGTTATATACCTTTTTCGTGCAACGGTTTCTTCACCTTCCCTTTAAAATCCTCGAATTGGATCCTGTGTGTGTACCAACGTTATTGTTCAATATGTTTCATCACTAGCCCAGGACAACAATAGTCTTTCAGGGGAAGCCAGTGCTCAACGAGCATGTCTTTTCGTTTCTTGCTCCCTTGTGATTGAACAAGACAGGTTCTTCCCAGGTGACCTCATGATTTGGGTCTCCATTACTAGCAGTAACTCCTGGTCAATTGGCATGTCCCCGCAAAAAAGGGGTTAGGATGGACGGGGGTTGAACCTCTCCATGATGTTGAACGTATGAAGGTTTACATCATGACCTTCAAATCGCCTTCACTGGAACCATAGCTGAGCTAATGGCTGAGCTCATATCCGAGCCCGCCTCAGCACCCCTCAGGAACGACTTCCACTGGGGCACGCGCGTCACGCGCAAGCGCCCAGGCTCGATTGCAACCGCGGAGAAGACTCGGTGTACTTTGGGTTGGTCTGTACTTTTAACTTGAACTTTTGGATACTTTAGGTACTTTGCTCATATACTTAAAGTCATACATGGCTGGATGTTTTTCTTTTTGACAAGCTCTTATGCAATATGTTGGGTTTGCTCATGCCGATGGGGTGACGTATTCAGTATGCCTACTGCTGCACACAGTTTGTTTTCTTTTGATTTTGTTTGCTTCAAAAGACCGGAACAACAGTAAGTGCTCTGTACAGACTCATAAATTGTGCAAACTGCGTTTTGTTTGTTCGTTTTTGTGATGCCGCCCCAGACAATTGAGCCCAATTGTAACGCCTGACAATAAAGAAACATCATGGATATTCCAATGCCTATTCTCCTGGAAATATAATGAATTGTACAATATTGTACATGGATATTGGATATTGTATGATATTGTACAACATGCTCGTGAATCGCTAGATGATCTCCTTCCTGTCATGGTAAGAAACCACATGTAGGGACCGCCCTGACTGGCCACTTCAGGAACCTTGGGCAGCGACACGCTGCCCTGGTGGGTACTGCTCTAGCCGCAAGCTTAGGGGGAGCACCGTAGTTGAGCCTGAAGAGGCCCAGCTGGAAAGGAAGAAATCGTCTTTGTACAATGCCACTTCTTTGGCGTGTTTGTGGCGTTATATTTTGTGGATTGATCTGTATTACTGAAAAATAATCCAAGACCTTGGTGTTTTACCCGTGTCATGCACAACATGCCCGGAGTGCTTCATTTTCAGAAGTTGGAGGGCCTCTCATCTTGGACCCCGGACTTCTTCTCACTGACTTCTTCAGGTGGGAGCCGCCGCCAGCTCCCGCAAGCCTCGGCCCAAGGGGGCCATGGGCTATGCAGGCGAAGAAAGAAAGAAGGACCTCACTTCCACGACCCATGTGGGTTTGGGCAGAAGCCAGGTGGTTTTCCTCTAGAAACCGGTGGTTAGTTTGCAGGGAGGATATTAGTCTTCAGGCAAGCAAGCTTGGCCCTCATCCGCAAAAGCCCATTGGCCAAGCATCCTCAAAGAGCCTGGGAGTCAAAGACGGTACGGAGAACGTTAGGACATCCTCCAACCAACTTAAGGGCATGTCAAGGAGGTGTTTGGACGACGATTTGTTCTGTTCTTTTTTACCAGGTGGTTGCCTTTAGAGGAGAAACATGTTGAAGCAATGCTATGGCATGAAAGTTCTACCACGTTGGCAGCAAGTCTATGAATCTACAATAATGTATTGCAAGATACCACATGAAGGCGCCAGTTCTGCATCACAGGCATCACCTGCATGAAGGCGGCGCCCAGTTGGGAAGGACGGGCGAGTTCACGGCGGAACTTTTGAGCGGGAAGCGGCGAGGAACCGGACGTGGCAGGCTGTTTGAGATGTTTTGAGCACCCTTTGACCCTTTGGGTTATTCATGTATATAGCAGCCTAACATAAAAACAGTTTGTTCAGGAATTCATTTACAGTGTGCCCAACATTTAGATACTATTTCGGAGGGATGAACACATTTAGTCACAGCAATCATGTGCATCCCAGCCTATTCAGACTTCACCTGAACAGTGCTCACTGCACTCCCTCAACATTGCCAACATCGGGAGAGCCTCTCCCCACACAATCAAGAACCAGGTAGGAAGCAGGCCGATGGAGCGTCCGGACCAACATTTGGAATTGTCCATTTACAACATTGAAATTGGATCAAGGCCGCCGGTTTTGGGCGCCTGTCTGCGGAACACACCGTTCAACCTTGCAAAGCTGGCCAAACTGACTCACTAGTTGCAAGGCACACCGACTCATCTTCGCTTGATCGAACCAGTTCTTCACTCGGCAACACATGAATACTGCAGGCCACATCTGCTGGTGTTGCACGCTGTTCACTAACATGGCTTTGCAGTGTTTCCTTCTCTGACTGCGAGCAAAGGCCGTTCAGCGTGTCAACCAAAGCCATCCAAATTCCGATTTGCAATCTGCATGATACTCAGATGTTGATTTCATCAAATGTTGAACCAGAATAATTAGTGTGCCCAAACACCGGGAGATCTCGCCGACTGCACAGTGCGACCAGGCAACAACTATAATTAGTCACTAGAGATATGTGTTTTTCATTCTTCTTGTTCTTGACCGCCAACGTCGCCGAAAAAGACAACATATGTGTCTGCTTGGAAAGGGTGGTGAACCAACTCAATGTCCCACAATCATTTGTCCACACTGGTATTGTTGACCAACAGTGGCTGCAGCGCATGTCTTGAGGCGTTGAGCCCAACAAAATACGACTGACAATGACTGCCATTATCTGAAAAAGTTACCATTGAACAAATCTAGCTGCTAGCTCATCTTGCCCAAATCAAGCTGCATCTTGCCACTAGAACATGTTAGGGGTCATGAGTAGCCAAATTCCATTCAGGGTGGTATGCTTCAAGGAACAGCAGATGGCATCTCCATGCTGCATGGTGCTAGAGGGTGAACATCAGCGTACTGGTGCCCGTCACACACACGCACACACGAGCCACACAAGCTAGCGGAATTGAGTGAGGACAACCTTTGAAGACAGAATAACAAAAGGAACGTCAGTTAGCACGACAAGCAAGCACAAACATGCGGAGAACATAACAACAAATAACAATGCACAAGTACATAAGGCAACGTTTTGTGGGGTGTAGATGATGCATACTGCTCCTTCGCGAACCTTTCAGAGCAGATATCCGGCAGATAGCAAGTAACTGACAATCATGCAAAGAGCAGGATTGTAGAGATTCGTGTAGTTAGAGCCAGGATGCAAAAAAATTGCTGAGAGGGATCCTGACATATTTACAGACCCGTATTAGGAAGCTGTTGACTATTCTCTTCAGGCAAAAGAAACCTCGGGCATTGGAAACCGCACGTTGCAGTACTTCCAACACATTTCATTATTGTAATTATAGTACATTGTGATACATTGGGGGCTTTGGTTGAGCATGTTCATAATCTCCAGGTGGGTTGAGTGGAGAGATTTTGCCAAGATCCACAGAAACGGAATCCAATCAACTCAGAGAGACCTATAGTGTCCTATGATTAATCCGTTCAAACACAAATCTCTTATGCCACCTTTCGTCCACAATACATGTTTCCGAGGAATAGTTTACAACATACAATCAATATGCAAAAGGGTGGTGTTCTCCATGCGTTTTTTGGAGTGTTTCCAGCTCCAGGATTGGCCACAGAAGCGCGGGGGACCGATGCAGGTCGGAGGGGGCCGAGTGGGCGTGGGACATGAGACACGAAGAGATCCCAGATGACAGAGGTGTATTCAGCAACCCCACAGATCTCATTCCCGGCTCTAATTGCAACGCCAAGATCATTTTTTGCAGACGAATGATATTTGACTTTGACATACTTTGACTTTGTATTAGACTTGCATTTAAGAAGTGTTATGTATAGAATGCAACGGTTGATATCGATATGGCCGCCAGGTTGCTCTTCCGGATCGGCTTGCCAACGGTCGCCTCCGACCTCCCGTCCGAGGCCAGGAGGTGCTCCAGCACTGGGCGGATCGTGCCGAGGGCATCGTCCCGCATACCGATGCCAAGGACCGGGTCGGTCTCGGGTCGAGAGGAGACATGAGGCGACTGGAGCAGACCTGAATGGATTGAGCCTTAAAGGGCTGCAAGGGTGCCAGGGGGCCTAACGGTCTAACCACCTTCTGAGGATTCAAAGCTACTTTCAAAGCTACTTTCATAGCTGTAGAGACGAAATTGGAGCTTTACGGTCGCATTGAGTCTAGAGATTGTCGCTGTGGCCAGGTGCGCTACTTTGGCACTGAGCGTTGCTTTGCTTCACTTAGCCTGGGAAAGATCAATCAAAACGCTCAGACCTGTCTTCGACAAATATGCCCCATTGATGCCGGGAACAAAAGGTCGAAGATCCTTCTTCCCTTCTTTTGCGTTCGCAGCCTTGGTATAAAGGTCGTTCTTTGCGGCTCGGTCACGGGGGTTGTTCCTCCTGTCACAGCGGGCCGCGTCTCGCTGTTTCACGCGGAGATGTGGAAGAAGTCCGGTGTTTTCTCCGCCAAACCAAGGAGCAAAGGAACGAGGCAAACCATTTTCGGGAAACTGATGCAAATGGGGCGAGCAATTTCTGGACGGCCCATGAAGCGACCAATTTCTTCACGGCGGTGTGTTTCACGGTGCGGCCGTTTGAGTGCAGAATTGAATACAGCAAAATGCTGCATCCTCCCAGAAACTCACATAATCAGACCCTGGAGATGGAATCCTGAAAGGCGATTATGTCTATAGGTGTTTTCCTCCATGAACCAGTGGTAGACTGAGAGTGTCCTGCACAGACTGCACTGAGGCAGCAGTAGGAACTGGAGTGAACCATATATTTTATATAATGTTATATATCTCAGACACTCCATGTATGCCATATACTATGCCATATATATGCCTACATTGGGGTGGTTTGAGGTCAATGTAGGCATATATGGCAGTCCCATGGAGTGTCTGGGTATACCATGTTGTACATGAATCCGTCTCGCAGTCGACCTCCTTCGGAACCTTCGTCAGAACCGCTTCCCACCAGTCCTTCCCACCCATTTTGGCCCATGGCCACGTGGCGACGCCGTCGCCACAAGGTCTGACCGGCCGGTGCGCCAGGTCAAAAGCCACGGGTGAAAATCTTTCGAGATCAAGCGGCCTGGTGCCCATACTGTCAGTCCCTCGGCAGAGAGGTGATTGTAAGTGACTGTCAATGCATGCCACGGTTGTTCCTCAGCATTGAAATTGAGAGATCGTTGGGATTCCCAGATATTGATATGGATCTTGTCATCAAAGAACAGTGTGGCTTGGCCCGTTTCGTGTCCGGACAACGGAAAGCTGCTAGCACTGCTAACGCATCCAAAAGTTTGGAGTTGCAGTAATGTGTTTGGGACGGTTGTTACTTTTCTCCTGCTCCTGCACAAGTCCACTGCAATGTTTCTCAATCCAGTGCTTTGAAATGCTTTGAGTTGGAATTCCTGTGCTCCTGCCTATCATTTAGCATAAGGTCCAAAGCATCTATTTTCTAATGATTTATTCTCCTGCAAGCCCAATGTTGTAAGGCGAGGAACTTGTTGAAACACTAGTTACTGGTCCCTGCTGTATCCTGTATGGTTTGCTTGTCAGCTAGTCGCGGTTTGTTAAGGAAAGTGTGGCTGCTTCTTGAAGAGAAGAAAGTTGACTATGAGATAGAAAAGGTGCCGATGCGGTCCTATGGCACCTTGCCAGCCTGGAGTCGTTGCACTTGGCGACCTACATGGCTATGACGATGACAAACGACTAAGGGATTACTAAGGGTGTGTGTTAGAATGAGAGCGAAACCTATGTTGAGCAGGCCGCAAATTGTGTTCCTCAAACATTTTACAGGAAGCAGTTGCCGTTTGTGTGTGTAGATGTTTCATTTGTGATACCCTCGATTAGCGGGAAACAGTTACTTACCCCAGAGATATTCCGTTGTGGTGAAGACTTGTGGGTTCACTTTGTTCGTTTGTGTCCGACCTGGCATATGAGCCTGGGCCTTGTCCAAAAGTCCAGTCACTTTGCTTTTGAAGGAGTTCATCCCGAAAGTGCGGCATTTCGACAAGGCTTGTGGATGGTAGGGACGTCCACATTATGATGTAATATGAGTTGGAGGGATCGTGATTGATGACCACCGCAAGGACTCCACCTATCCGGGATGGTCCCTCACTTCAGGTGACAAGCCCAAAGAGTTCCTGCAATTGGTGCCACGAGGGCTTCTCCCCGCCATGGAGTTGGATGGCAAGGTCATGACTGAAAGTCTGGATATCATGCGCCTTTGGCAAAAAGAACGAGAGAGACCAAGCAAGACTGCTCACCAAGCTTTCATGGACACCGGTACAGAGACAAATATCAAACCCTAGGGCTCCAGTCGTACCTCCTCCCTTACTGACACCCACCCCAGTCCCACCTTCTCGGAAGGTACGACTGGAGCCCAAACGGGAAAGATCTTTCAATCAAGTCTGTGGGGTTCAGCTCCCATGGCTCCAGCTCCCAGAGGCTCCAGAAAGGTCCATACGCGGGGATCGGCCCTTCTTTGGGCCATTTTGGGACCCCAACTCCGGGGGGGGTTCTGGTCCAGACTGGAGCGTTCGGAGTTTCCTGGGGTCAATGTGTAGCGGGTGTGGTCAATCCACCGAGTTGGTTGAGCATTCTTGGAGTGCACAACCACAGCCAAAGCGACATGGCCCTCGGGACGGGATGCAATGGAAGCGCGTTTGGCCAGACCAAAACCATTCAAAAAGGTGCTTGTCTCCTCGAAACCGCCAGAAACTGAAACACCTATGATAGATGTCATACTGTTTGCGGGTTCCATGGACTGCGGCTTCTAGCACCCTGTACAATGAAGGTGTTCACATTGGTTTAACCACAAACACCATGCATTTGACCAGTTGCCACAATTAGTGTGCAGCCACTTTATTTAGTGGAGCTAGTTGACAAATCACAGCGGGACATTTTTGTTGCTTTTGTTTCAGAGGCGGCACACAGCTAAAGTCAGTAATTCTGCACGGCAGTGCTAGCAAATCCGCTAGAAAGGCGCTAGGTTTGAATGCATTTCATGAGCAGCATCAAAAAGCCTCCATGATCATGGTAATAGGTATCGGTATTACTGTATAATATCCAGATTTGTTTCTACTGTTTTTTTGGTTTTGTGCGGTGTGATTGTCGCTAGCGTTGCCACTAGCAATCCGCTAGCAAAATGTGCACGCAGATGACCTCTGTGAGTTGCTCCCCTTTTTGCATCCTTTTGCGGCCCAAATTGAATGTCCTTACTTTCAGTGTGTGGCTATGTTGGCGCCTGTGGAGAAAGTTCCAGCAGCCACCCTAGTAGTAACGGTAACTCTTTGAAGGAGTGAGATGAACGGTCGTTAGCAATTTTGCGGGGCTCTTCTCATGGTTGGACAGAAGTATGTTGTTCCAATGGTTTTCACAAGATTCATACGTATATAGATGTTTATTTTGGCAAATAAAGCGGCATGCATGGAATTTCGATTTAGCAACGGCTTTAGGCAAAACACTTTTGACAGACCGTCATTGTGATTGGGAACACACTTTGATGAATTGAATGTCCTTAGCCGCTTGCTCTCTCAGATGCTGAGGTTCACAATTGATGCTCAGATTGCATTTCTATACTGTATATAGTACGTTGTGGGATGGTCATGACTTTCTGTCATCTACATACACTGGTATCCAATGAACTGAGTATGAACATGGAGGAATTCAAAGGAACTCACAATTCACAATAAATCTGCAAGTCAGGAAAAGAAGCATTGAGTAGACTGCACCAAAAGGTTGTCAACCTCGCAAAAGACCATTGATGTGGACTGGACATGTCCGGCGATTCGATTTCGCAGTTGTTGTAGTTGTTGTCGTCGTGGTTTGTGGTGATGGTGGTGGTGGTGGCGGTGGCGGTGGTGGTGGGTTGTTGTTGTTGTTGCTGTTGCTGTTGCTGTTGTTGCTGTTGTTGCTGTTGTTGTTGTTGTGGTTGTTGTTGTTGTTGTTGTTGTGGGGCAAGCATCGTGCCTGGAGGATCAGATGATTGGTGCGTTTGGATACACCTCATTGATGAACTGAACAGGTGCATAGCATGGGCCCATTGACATAGAAATATTGTTTTAAATCTGCTGTTCGAACTAATTATTGTGTTTTTGTACCAGTTCATTGACTGAGCCACCCGTTGTAAATTGTGAGGTTGCCAATAGCTCCTTTGTTGTGCCTTGTGCGCTCAGGAAAGAGCTTTCCCAAATCCGGACAAGCCAATGCTTCTTGTCCACAGATGATGCTGACATGTTGTGAGTTCTCAGGTTGTTGCTCGACTCGAAGCATCAATCAGAGATAGTCAGATTGTTGTTTATACAAGATAAATGTCCCTTTGTTTGTTCACTGGTGCTTCAGGAGGTCCATGGAGGTCCTATGATTGAATGAAGAAGACAGAAGAAGACTCATAAGTCATAGGAATCTCCTAGGACTCCTAGGCGTCCAAGGACCTGGTGCTATTCATGTCAGAACTTAGGAGGTCTCAGGAGGTCCCTCAACACTAGTCACGCCCCGGACCGCCCGTGGTGCTTCGGCTCCTGTGGTTATACGTCACTCACAGACGTGAAGACGTACATAATAATAATAATATCTGAAAACCTATGGTGCCATATATGCTGCCAGTGGTGTGATCATTATTCGTGATCCTTTAGAGATGGTGGTTTCATCCTTTTGCTATCACCACCGTGGGGCCGGGGCTGGGCTGGGCCTGGCCCCAGTGAAGATCATGGAGATGGGACCGGAGGAGGGAGTTCCTGCTATGGTGCCATATATGCTGCCAGTGGTGCGCAAGATGACCAGTGCCTATGAGGTCGCCAAGCCCGATGTGCTCCCGGTACGTTTTGAGAAATTTACCAACAATTCCAAGGATTTCGATGACACCATGAGAGAAATCTTAGTGTTTCTCTTCGGGAACGAGATCACAGAGAAGCAGAAACAGCAGGTTCTAGATGCAGCTGCTGTGGAAGACCAGAACAGAGGTTTGGAAGGGTTTTCTGAAGACCCAGCACTCAACCGTGGCTTCAACCACACGAATGACGAGGAGGACATGGCTGCAGCCAGAAGAGCGTTGCACCTCATACCAGAGGACCTCTTGGCTGAGCTCCAGACGCATCGGACAGTGCTTGGCTACGCTTGACTTGAAAAGGTGAGGGGGTACAGCTGGGCGTGAAGTCCTATGGCCTTGTGCTGTGGATGCGACCGTAAGAGTGCAGCGGCGTGAACGTTAAAAACAAAAAAACTGTTTTGTCCCCCGGAAGGTTTGATGGTTTGATGGGGTTCCTGATGGTTCCTGTACAGGTGGGGCTATGTTCCCATATATCTATACTAATTATGCTTACCTGGTTTTTCGAAACGGCACACATAATTGCCTTCTCAAGTATATTATGCAGCTTCTTTTCCCAAAGATTGCTTTTTTGTTGCGAAGATCCAGGTATCTTTGCCAAAGAGCCCAAGACGAGCCTTCGAATAAACATCCCATCCGTCACTCTGTCGCTTGACTTGTCGAGGTTCCCCATGTCAGGGCCCCTGCGGGAGAGGGCCTCCCGGCTGCTGCAGCTGGAGCGAGAGCTGTTTGGCGCTTGGTGCCAATACCTCTTCCGTCGCTTGGACCTGGGAAGGGGTGGGGTTCTGCAGTCCGGTGGATGCCGCCTTTTTCAAGACTTTCATGGCGAGGCATGGTGGGTGCAGAGAGAGTGGGTGGAGGCAGAGAGTTTTTATCAAGCAAACTGAAGTCACTTTCATGACATCCAAAGCTATCTGAGTGGAGAACCAGTGAAAGGGTCTATATAGTCTAGTACTCTCAGGAGAAACATTGATAAACTTATTGCAGGTTTGCATATTACATAATTTTGTTTATATATAGTATATATATATAATATATAAAATGTAGGCTCTGTTAGGCTCTGTTAGGTGGACGCCCTATGGCGGGCGGCTGGGGTGGCACACGTCAGACGGTGCCCCGCAGCAATCTCCCCACTTGCGCCAAACATGGCCGGAGTGGTGGAGATGAATGTGAAAGGGAAAAAAAAAGGGGTCTCAACCAGAGCACATGTGGGCGCAAAAAACGCTGCAAACATGCTGCTTTCACCTAAAAAAAAAACATCTAAAGAGATGAAACCCACGCCACGTCGTAATGCACCTGAGGTCGCAATTTTTTCAAAGCCGCATGAACCTGAGCAGTACAACGACCAACGTGGAGGATCTTCTGATGCAGAGGCTCCAACTCAAGCACCGGTTCAAGCCACCACTCCCAGCGCAAAGCATGGGAGACCACGGCCGTGCACCGATGGAGCAGATGGGCCAAAGTAAGTGGGTGATTACAGTGAGGGCAGCCGAGATCCACGCCAAAGCTGTGGTGGCCAAACACACCAAAGGGAACTTGCCCAGAAAGGCGGGAGAGGTACCAAGCTCGAGTATAGAGCCACTCACGTTTACTCCAGTGTGCCGATGCAAGTATCGCCAAGACTTTCTTCTCCAAAGAAGCATCATGCAGCCAAGGAAATAAATTTTGCTCCTGCGATGCAAGCCAGTCGCGATCAAAATGCAGGAGTTTGGGAAGTACAGCCGACCGTATCCAAAGGCGCACCTTAGATTTAATAGAGATCGTTGGAGCCACATGCTGAGCAAACTCAATGAAATCCTCAGGGATCCCAAATCTGTGCTCCAATGCCAAGGAATCATCTAACCACGTCGCTCCGGGCACTCGCCGTGCTCCTTCCAGGATGCCGGGAATGGCACTTTGACTGGGCACCATAAGTAACCTAGCCCTGGCGGACAAGATCCGCAAAGCCACCTTGGTAGCAAGACGTAGGTCAATACCTAAAGCACACAAGACCCGGGCATAGCCCCCTGAGCCAAGGGAAATGCCCTCAATACCCAGTATGGCTTTCAAGGCCCTATAGTGCGCTGCATCAAGACGTTTAGACACCTGCAGCCACCCTACTGCAGCACTGGCCAGGGGTTCAGTGCCATGTAAAACTGAGCTTTCAACCCTTATGGCCACCTGCTGAGTGTGGTGAGGGAGCCCAATGCCTAGATCACGTAGGGAGACACAGAGCTGGGAGGTTTCCTGTATAAAACGAGCGCACGTGACTTCAAGCAAGTGGGCGAAGCTAAGATTGCTGTCAAAGGTGGGCCCAAGCACATTGAAAGATGAAACCAAACCAATAGCAGCCCCATCGAGACTGGGAAGGTTAGTGGAGCTAGGTAGACTAGCCGGAACCAACATCAAGGCCACCTTGCTTGGGCCAGCAGCAAACCTGTGTTTCCACAATTGCAAAAACTGTTCCAAGGCCTTACATACTCGATTCATACCCCACAGCGTGGATTGAAAGACAAAAACGTCATCAACAAATTGAAAAACTAGCAAGGAGTGGGTGGCTAGGACGTCCAAGGCAACCAAGGCTGTTTCCAAATTCGTGGAGCGAAGTAAGGTAGAGGAATGTGACAGTGGGGCAGTTCCACGACATGCCTGAACTAAGTATGGTACGATATTAACCTCAACATCGCCGGACGGTCTGCTGTGCAGCCGTAGTCGATCCAACAAAATGGGAGAGGTGCCAAGCGAGACACCAATGACACTCTGGCGCAGCTGGTCCGGGATACCTCTGGCCAAGGCACCAAAAAGATGAACAGCACGACGGCCACCTTGTCCAAGACCAGCAGTGATTAAAAGAATGGCAGGGCCAACCAGTGGCCCGTAACGGATGCGAAAATGATCCTGCTGTACAGCGGAGTCAAGACACAACCACAAGGAACCACGAATGCCAGCCCATCGGGTGTGAAGTAACATTGCTGACTTCCATGCCAGATCGTAACCTTGGAGAAGATCAGCTTTGAGACAAAATGTTGGTAGAGACCAATTCCGACGAGTCTGCAGCGCAATCAAAATACCTAAAGAAACCAAAGTACTATCAAATCGGCCGCCGGCTTGTTCTTGGCCAATGTAGGTTTCAAGAAGGTGGCGGCAAGAATGCAACCAGGCCAAATCAAATAAAGTTTGAAGTTCGTCAGTATAGCTGATCGGTCTAAGATTTTTCATCTCCGTAACAACCTGGGGGCCCCGTTTCCTGATGAAACTCACCTCACGCATCCATGCCGATGGAACGACGCCCAGGGCCATAAAGAGATTGAGTAAAAGCCAGCAGAGTTCGAGCCCTAAGGGGTTCTCATTGACCAAAGCAGCTCTGGGAAATCTTAATGAAGCCTTATGTTGCGAAATGTCACTCACCCAACGCTTGACGTCGTCAAACGCAAAAAACATGTGAGGTTCAGTGGCCGCTTCCTGCCTGGCAGTATCACGCTCAGCCTGTAAGGCCTCATGCACAACCTCAGTGAAAGTATCAATGCCTGGATGAGCCTGGCTAGGCCGCTCAAGAATTTCTTGCGTCAAGAGTTGTACAACAGTGCTATCAGAGGCCCTGCGGCCAGATGCTTCATCAACAAAGTTGACCTCTGTAGCAACCCTTGGGTTGAGCATCATGCTCAAAAGAGCCTGCGCCCTGCTAGGGTCCGTGGCATGGGAGTCAAGAAAGTGCCGAACCAAAGAGGGGCTACCAGCTCTACCAACCTGAGATACAAACTCCTCATATTCAATCGTGTTGCTCTGGCACTGAGGACCATACCATTCAAGCAAAAATTTTTCCAACTGAGAGGCCTGGGACCCATAGGTTGAGGAATGTGGTTTGACAGTGACGGCCAGACCACACATGTGACCGGCTAAGCAAAGAACAACAGAGCGCCACCAAACGGCTCTGTCGACAACTGCTTGCCGGAGACGTTGCCATTTCCCATCGACTAATGAATCCCGGAGCAAATTTTCACGTAAAATCATCCGAACCCATGTGCAGATATACTCCAAGCACAAGGGGACATGCAAGAGTGCCTCATTCCAAGCGTCACTGGAAGGAGACCACTTTGCAATGTAATATTATATATATATATATCCACCAACAGCCTGCAACAGCGTAACAGGTCTTCTCCAGACAAATATTAGACCCTAAGGTGCAGACTCGGGTGCTGGCAGACTACATGTCCAAACTGGAAGCTTTCAGTCGGTGTGTTCCAAGCTTTGAGAGACCCAGAGACTCTTTGGTAAAGGCCAACCCATGGGTCATAGGTTGAGGGGGTATCTCATTTCAAGACAAGCCCAATGGAAGCGAGAGACATACCTTGGAACATGATGGGGGTTTGCCTCGTTTCCAAAAATTCCGGCAGGACTTCCGCACGCTAGAATGCTAGAATCAGGAAGAAAGACGTGGAATACGCCATCCTTTGCAAGACAGAAGCATCCCAACCTCTCCCAACCATCTCCATGAAAATTGCCTACAGCAGGGCTCTCTGGGAAGACGCACTGCGTTCCTCGGGCCGCCGGAGCCGAGAGACGGGTCGACATCCCGTGAGGCCCGGACATGCCCTTCCTTGGGGGCAGTGAGGACGACTTTACCCGGACGCTGGAGGAGGTCGACTGGTGGGTCCCGGGTTGTTCCGGGTTCTGGACCACATGGTCCGGATGCATGGTGGAACGGCCGGAAACTGGCATAGGTTAGATGAGTAGGGCCCCTATAGGGCTTAAAGGTCGAAGAAACTGTTGGAATCAGAACTCTTTATGCAGGAAACAGACTTAAATTTGTTTTTTGTTTTTTAACATCTTTTATTTAGTTGTGCCAGGGTGTCCCTTGCTTTCGCCAGAGTCCCCCTGAAGAGAATTGTTTTTACTAATTTGGAAACCCTGCAGTTGGGGAAGATTCTGGTGTGGCTGTAGATCCATATAGTGTGTATTTGGTGGGATTTGCATTTTCAGGTTCTTCTTCCAGCAGTTCCAAAGGAGTAGTTTTCAGTCCCTAAACGAGGTGATAAGGAGCACAAGGCATCCCTTTGAAGTTCCAGGTGCTGGCTTAAGTCTTACCAAGACCCCACAAGACCATGAAGATGTTGCAGATATATCTAAGTCAATCTAGTCGCCGAGTTTCACTGTGATGCCCAGATGATTTGTGATGCAAACACTTGAGTCTTGGCACGCTTTAATTTGCGCCCACATGTTCTTCTTTCACTACTGGACCTTCACACCAGGCCCGACCACAAGGTCATGATGGGTGTCTCCCTGGTGTATTTCATGCTCACTTCGCGGCGCTTGTCGATGCGCATTCGCGCCAGGTCGATCGAGAGCTGGGATCCAACTCGGAGACTTGGAAGCGGGTCGGTGGTTCGGGTTCGGGTTTGTTGGGTTTGGGCCTTCAAGACCTTTGCTTTTCTTGGTCCCGTTCTTGGAGAAGCAAGAAGAGATCTCCAGAGTTGGGCCGAATTGGTCCTTCAATATTGGAGAAGAGCCTTCCACCCCACAACTGCAGCGCAGGTTTTTTCAGTGAATCAGTTCATTCATCACGTCCTTCAGGAGACAGGTAGTGTCTCCGTTCGTCCACTGTGGTTTCACGACTGACTCAGGAATCGCCCTTCTTTTTGCCCTACCCACATCCCACCATTGTCGACATGCAGTACGTCTCGCATGTGGAGCGAGCGGTGGCCAGTGTCATGCGCCCTGGACACGGCAGGTGCAGAGAAGGCTTGCGGCTTGTGTAGAGCTTCAGAAACGCCATCATATCCATGGTCTTGCGTAAGGATCATTGTATGATTGTTGATGTGTCCGGTCCATACGGACGTCTTTAGGCCATCAGGTGAGGAGAACATGTATTTTTGGGAGGATGGGGGTGGTATGCCAGTCACACAATTTATATATCAAACACATTCAACACATTATTGACATGTTTTTTAAATATACAGAGGTCTGGCCTACGGCCTACGAATGCGCACCACAGCCCCAAGGTACTACAAGGGCTATAACATCCGCAAGAAGTTTCCTAACATCGATCGCTGGCTTTCTGCTTACGAAGAGTTGCCTCACTACATGGCCAGCAAGAGTGACTACTACACTCACTGCTTCTTGACATAATTTTTGGTCGATGATTCACGATGATTCAGATGTATTCTTTGCCCTGAAAAAAAACAATTTATATATATAAACAAAAAATATAGCACCATGAAGATGATTCAGATGATTCAGATGTTCTTCCATGTTCTTTCCACATAGCACCTGCAGTACAACCTCTATGACCATGACCCTTGGCGCTGCCCGACTTCAAAGACGCTGAAGTCACTCGTGAGTTCACGAGCCCGGGACGACGAGGCATGGATATTCCTCCGCAGTATGGCCCATGCTTCTCCAACGACAGCGTCCGGACGCCCCAGATCATGCTTGTTTGATACAAGGGAAGACAGAGATACAGTGGTTTCAGAGTAGATGCACAGACCCCAAGAGGTCCTGAACAAATGGGGGTTCATATAAACCACTGAAATTGGGGTCTGTGCAATCTACTCTGAAACCACTGAAACCTCAAGGGTCGTCACCTGGGTGACGCATACAGACATTGGTGACCTGACAATATGTTTGACCTGCTGTTTTGTGAGTCCCTTTAAAAACGGAAGAACGAGACACGCCCTGTTGTTATGCTGTGCTAGTGCTATACATTTGTTCTTTTACAAAAGCCAGGGTTTGTTTATCAAGCGCGTTGGTCTCTTCCACACCACACATGGAGGCCAGGCAGTAGGCATTTCTGACCGCTTTTCTGACAGGAGACCGCCGTGCAGGCCCGAGCTCCTTGCCAGGTCAGAACAGGTTCCCTTAAGCACTAAAGTTTGGAAATGCAAGAGACAACAACATACAGACTATCCAGGTTTGAGACTATACCTGCATCTATTCTTTAAAGATATGTGATATGATATGCATGTGGAGAGAATTTGTGGAGGGTGGTGTGATGTCGGGTCTTGATTAGTAAATACCACTGTCTAATTAGTGTTCCTCGATTGGTCAAAGAAGGTGTGTTTGTCCCGGAAGTTGTTTCAAGTGGAAATGAAGAGCAAACAACACAAAAGCAAAGGTGTTCTTGTTGTTCCAAGTTTCCTGTTGGATTCGTCAGGCATTGCACAGATGAATCGTGCCTGAAGTTATCTTTGGACATGGAAGCTCACAGAGATCCATACCGTCCATGACGATAAACACTTTGTATCACGTGTGTTCGGTTCATGTGGACTACCCTGTCCGAAAATGGTTCCGAGCTTTGCTTTGTTGGGCGTCAAAAGGAAATCCAATAAGTGGGATTAAGACAAGAAAGACCTTCTCAGAGCAGAAGTAGGAGCTAGTAGGCAGTTGGAGCCTTAGTCAAGCAATCGCAGGGCCTGGCTAGAGATTATATGCTTTTCCGAGGACTTGCTTCAAAAACTACTTTTCCCACTAATACACATGAGTCATGAGTATCCAACAGCTTTAGGGAACTCTTCAGGACCTAACTTTTGCACGAGAAGACATCCCACCGAACAAGTTCTGTTGCAAAGGGGCCAGTTCGGCCCAAGGGCGAGCAGTGCTTGGAACCTCCAGCTGATGCTGCAGCAACATTTGCTGGAAGCATCCGTTTATGGGTTCCAACAACTCGGGCTCATCAAAACACCCGTTGCAGCCACTTAGTGCTGCAAGAGGCACCTGGGTGATCTTAGAGTGTCAATCTCAGGCCCTTGCGTGGTGGTTGAAGGTACTGGTTGTATTATATACTGCACTCTTCGCTGAATTCAAGAATGTCAAACATGGATCATGGAACAATACACAACTTTAACAGGCCCTGAAACCGTTTGCTTGCAGTTTCATAATTACTGGTTAATGAAGCTGAGCCTTGGTTCAGAACAAATTATATATATATACATACATATTCATGAACAAATTGAGCTATGTAGGTCATGGTTGGAAAGAAGCGACCAAAGAATGGCCATCAACTGTATTGGCAAACCCCACTTCTGATGTGCACCCCTTCACTGCTTCACACAAAAAGTATTCCCAGGCCGCCCAGGCCAAGCAATATTTAGCCATGAGGATTGTTGCTGAGCAGTCCAGGGGATTGCAGCAAAACATAACGTCTCAGCTTTTATGTATGGAACCTCCAGCTGATGCTGCAGCAACATTTGCTGGAAGCATCCGTTTATGGGTTCCAACAACTCGGGCTCATCAAAACACTTGTTGCAGCCACTTAGTGCTGCAAGAGGCACCTGGGTGATCTTAGAGTGTCAATCTCAGGCCCTTATGGGGTTCTTTGCAGACGGTTTACGATACTACCCATAGGAGTGAAGACACCGCAATGCAGAAATGCCCAGGTTGGAATGATACAACTCTTCAACCTGTCACAATGATGGATTCCTGCGTGTCACAAGCAGCTTGACTTTCGCTTTTGACATTCTGTGTTTCTCCTACAGCTTAAGTGGGGTTTTCAATCCGGGTATTGAAGCTTAGCTGTTTAAAGAGCATGTCCATGAAGAATTGAGGTAGGGCATACATTGAAAAAGAACAATCAAAAGCTGACCATGGGATTTGCAAGCAAGTTACAGATCAGACTGGCTTGCTCTAGTTCTGATAAGAACATCGTCAGCCATCTTGGACCATGTACTTCTGATCCACATGATTGAGAGTGTGGCCCAACATGAAGATACTGTAACTTTGTCACTGTTTCTTCACTTGAGGCTGCAATCCAACAGGGCCACGTTGACACCAACCATACTTTCTTCACACCAAAATGTTCCAATGTCGCAGAGCATTGCATGGGATTGCAGCTGGCAGCACAGCCTAGCTTTGCGGTATTATTTGGAACCTCCAGCTGATGCTGCAGCAACATTTGCTGGAAGCATCCGTTTATAGGTTCCAACAACTCGGGCTCATCAAAACACCCGTTGCAGACGCGTACTGCTGCAAGAGGCACCTGGATGATCTTAGAGTGTCAATCTCAGGCCCTTGTGGGGTTGTTTGCAGCGGGTATACAGTACTAGGAGTGAAGACACTGTAGTGTTTAGACACGCCAGGCTGTCACAATACAAGCCTTCAACCGGTCACAATGATGGATTCCTGCGTGTCACAAGCAGCTTGACTTTCGCTTTTGACATTCTGTGTTGCTCCTACAGGTTAAGTGTGGTTTTCAATCCTGGTATTGAAGATTAGCTGTTTAAAGATCATGTCCATGAAGAACTGAGGTAGGGCATACATTGAAAAAGAACACCCAAAAGCTGACCATGGGATTTGCAAGCAAGTTACAGATCATACTGGCTTGCTCTAGTTCTGATAAGAACATCGTCAGCCATCTTGGACGATGTACTTCTGATCAACATGATTGAAAGTGAACCCAACATAAAGATAACTTTGTCACTGTTTCTTCACTTGAGGCTGCAATCCAACAGGGCCACGTTGACGCCAACCATACTTTCTTCACACCAAAATGTTCCAATGTCGCAGAGCATTGCACGGGATTGCAGCTGGCAACACAGCCTAGCTTTGCGGTATTATTTGGAACCTCCAGCTGATGCTGCAGCAACATTTGCTGGAAGCATCCGTTTATGGGTTCCAACAACTCGGGCTCATCAAAACACCTGTTGCAGCCACTTAGTGCTGCAAGAGGCACCTGGGTGATCTTAGAGTGTCAATCTCAGGGCCTTATGGGGTTCTTTGCAGACGGTATACGATACTACCCATAGGAGTGAAGACACCGCAATGCAGAAATGCCCAGGTTGGAATGATACAACTCTTCAACCTGTCACAATGATGGATTCCTGCGTGTCACAAGCAGCTTGATTTTTGCTTTTGACATTCTGTGTTTCTCCTACAGCTTCAGTGGGGTGTTCAATCCGGGTATTGAAGCTTAGCTGTTTAAAGAGCATGTCCATGAAGAATTGAGGTAGGGCATACATTGAAAAAGAACACCCAAAAGCTGACCATGGGATCTGCAAGCAAGTTACAGATCAGACTGGCTTGCTCTAGTTCTGATAAGAACATCGTCAGCCATCTTAGACCATGTACTTCTGATCCACATGATTGAAAGTGAACCCAACATAAAGATAACTTTGTCACTGTTTCTTCACTTGAGGCTGCAATCCAACAGGGCCACGTTGACACCAACCATACTTTCTTCACACCAAAATGTTCCAATGTCGCAGAGCATTGCACGGGATTGCAGCTGGCAGCACAGCCTAGCTTTGCGGTATTATTTGGAACCTCCAGCTGATGCTGCAGCAACATTTGCTGAAGCATCCGTTTATAGGTTCCAACAACTCGGGCTCATCAAAACACCTGTTGCAGCCGCTTAGTGCTGCAAGAGGCACCTGGGTGATCTTAGAGTGTCAATCTCAGGCCCTTATGGGGTTCTTTGCAGACGGTATACGATACTACCCATAGGAGTGAAGACACCGCAATGCAGAAATGCCCAGGTTGGAATGATACAACTCTTCAACTGGTCAGGGTTGTTTGCAGCAGGTACCAACCCTCATCTCATTTAATCTCTCCTATGGTATCCTATGGGGCCCACTGACCCACACCGTGGGCAGATGTGGACACGGAATCCACCCACCCAGAGGGCTGAGATGAATCAGCGTGTGGGACATAGGAACCCCCCTTCCCCCATGTCCCATGCAAGCCATGGTTTTGAAGCACCATGTTCAAGAATCAGGAAGACGGTGAACGTTTGAATTCGTGGATTTGGTTCAGGGTGTCAAATGACATGACAGATGATCTAAGGAGATGATTGACCCGAAGAAGGCGTCGCTGCCCGTGCAATGGCAGAACGACGTCGAACCCCCCACGAAGGCCCAAACGCAACGCGCGGAGCAGGAGAAGACGCCGGCCGAGAGCATTGGGGGCGAAAGCCCGCGAACTTGCAAATATCCCACAAGATGCCGGTATTGGGTCAGAAGGGTGGGCTGAAGATGACCTGAACTACTGTATCTCCATGGTCCATGCTTGTAACATGGTCTTTAGACAACAGACTCAGAAGGAGAAAATATGTGTCCTGTAGTGTTGTTGCTTTTGGAAGTCACTAAATCATCTAGGCTTTACCCACGGGTTTCAATGGAGTTGAAGCGGAGAAACAAACCCGGATGAGTTTCATTGGGGAGCCAATGGGACCATCAACCACTTCATGGATGCTTCTTGGTGCCAGGGTTGTTAAGGACGGAACTGGTATGAGAAGCCTTCCTTTTGTGCTGTGGTTCAATGCGACTGTTGCGGCTCGGCTACCTCTACTCAACTCGTAGTACCCATGTTTTCAACATTTGGGACTGAGGGAAGACTTCTTTTACAGCAAATGCCACCAAGTCCGTCTTGTCCGAAACACCTGCAGAGCACCTACATGAAGATCATTGTAAGCTAATCATGCTTCAAACACCACCGGCTCGCCGTGCTCAGTGCTGTGTGAGCACCCCTGCACACCGCTCCGATCGGTTTTCGCGAGGACTTCTGCATCGAGGCGGCGATGAGGCTCATCGAGAATCAGGAGGCACGGTGGCTCGATGAGCCGCTTTGCCGTCGCGCCCGAACAAGCGGTGGATCGATCGCATTGGGGCGGGAGCGGGTGTTGGTTGATTTTAATTCGTAGGGGGTTGTCGGTTTGTCGAACTGTTGATGATGGATGACCCTACATGACAGGTGACCTACTGTTTTTACATGGTCATTCTAGGACTCTCTTGTTCTGAGTGGGCCATGCACTGGGTGCTCTCCATCTTGGCCGAGGCTGTGACCCGCTTCTGCTGTCGAGCGGCGGGGAAGGACGTGGGCTCCTGGGCTCGCGGGAACCCGACAAAGAGCGGCTCAGCCTGCCATAACTGGGTGGTGGTGCCAGATACTTTTAAGTTTCAACCTTTTACTTGGGATGATTGAACTCACTGACTATAATAATTGTTCAAGGGACTTGAAAAAAGCCAGATCATGTAGACTAATTGATGAATAAAACCCTCCCAACATATGAAGATGTTGTTGAATCTACATCGGTAGCCCTTTTATACATCGACAGTCGACAGTCTACATAACGCTCTGTTATCATCCGTCCTCATCGCAGCGCGTTCTTGATTCCATTCCTCACTCAGCATGACCACAGCGTCACACCTGTTGCCCGTGCAAACCACTTGCATCGGGTGAACAGTGAACACAGCAGGTTGTGCCTCATGGCAGCTCGGCCCGAACCGCAGGTTCACATCCCTCCTGTTTGAGAGGTGATTCCCAAGTGATCCTTGATTTTTGTCGTTTGACGAGGTGAGTTGGCAGATCCCTATGCCAGGCCAGGGGGCTCGGGTGTTGACGATCGCACTCTGCAGCGATGTTAATGAAGAAGCTGGAGCAGTCGTTGGTGGGATCAGATGACTTTGAACAACGCGCCGGGATGCATCAATTCGACATTGTTTTGTGTACTTGCTGTTGATTTGTTTGATCTTTTTCAGCTAAAGCACTGTCATAGATGGTTGGGAAAATGATGGAGAATGCTTCAGACAGTACAAATGTTGGAGATGAACGGAGATGAGATATGCGGAGGAGATATACTATAGATACATTGGGCAATCGCCTTCAGGATTTCAAGTCCATGGAGCGATCCAGGGCCGCAGCGTTCGTCGGAATCGGCGGGGTGTGGTTCAACCGCCCTAACTCTCCAATCCGTCAAGTACTGCCTTTGAGCCAAACATGGCAGTACAGCGATGGAAGCACTGTGTTTTGTCAGACTTCTCAAAGATATTAGGTGTTGTCCACGTGTTATATACTGTATTATATCCTGCTAAGGGGGTTGACATGGTTTGACCACAGCATGATCAGTCAGATGTTGAGGCCGAATTTGGATGTGGCACCTGCAGTGAATGTGGTCCTGCGGGCTGTGGCCAGCAGCCTCTTGAAGGGCGATGCAAGCTTTACGTCGCTGGGCTGTACGAGTGATGGGGCCCTCGGTACAGCACATGGATGGAGGATTACCACAGTTCATCCCAGGTATTCATGAGATGGGGAAGTGCTTGATCCTGTTGAGAAGCTATTCATGGGAAACCTTACTCAACTCCCAAGACTTGCGTGTCCTTTTGGAGAAGAGTCGTTGTTGGAACTGACCACATCGGCCCGTTGGAAGATGAGACCCGTCTTTGATTCATTGTATCACTGTTGTTTAAAGCTTTCGGAATGTGTGGCCGAACAATTGCCTGCAGCACGTTTTGTTGAAGAGCGTGAAATGGGATTGGTTTGTGGAAGGGATTTGTTTAAAAGCTCTTCGGGCCCCATCTCATCTCTGACAGAGGGGTCTTGCCGACCATGGGATATCATAGGCTCATGTCCATGAGTCGCGAGAATCACTCACCTCTTTATTTTTGATTCTGGGGGCGCAAAGGTACTGTATAGTCAGAACATGTCAGAACTCATCAGGCAGTGGTTTTGTGTACAAACCAATCCAAGAAGCGGTGGAACGCTTGTTATACCACTTACAAGATCAGAAGCCGAAGCAAGGGAAGGCCCCCCACCTTTGGCCCGTACATGTTGCTATTAGTTTTGGTGGATAGGATGAGTTCGCGAACTCGAACCTCCATCAATGCTTGCCACCTCATCTTGAGACACATCCAGCCATAACATCTCACAGCCCTAAATGCCACTCCAGAAAGACCCCCCAAAGAACTCTATATCTCTATACATGTGGCATCCCTCTAGAGGGAGTGCCATTCACCTTAGAAGGTCCCCAGCTGGGTCTTTTCCGCCACAACAGAACCCTCGCCGGCTTTGCCGCTGGCGCTTCGTGGCGCCAGCGCCGCCCAGGCAAAACGTCCGGGACCTGGTGCAGTCCGAGACCCAGCTCTCTGGCTCCGATCTGGCCGTGCTCGCCGCCTGCATCGCCTACCTCCGGGATCGCGTTCGGGCGCCCCAGGCATCGGGACCCGAAAACGGTGAGGTTCGTCCGGTGTGGTTCGGCCGTGTCTGGCCGGAACCGTCTGGAACCCGCGGTATCTGGTGTTTCAGTGCAGCTCTGGAGACTCCGTGAAAGCATCCTGCGACCTTTGTGGTGTGTTTGCAACGTCTAAAGTTTGTTTGTGTTTACCCATTGGTGCTTCAAAGATTATAGAATATTAATAATGATCTGTAATTAATGTGTGTTTCTTTTAATGGTTTCTTGCAAGCTCTGAGAGCCTATTGAGCTTGTTCCAAATCAGCACATGAAGCATCATGTATCATGAAAGGTTTTGAATAGATTTCCTTTTCCTGGGGTGGCCAACGTCACCCCCAAGAGAAGCACCATCGAATTCTGACAGAATGCTGCTCCATGCTGCTCCCCTCCGCCGCTGACGAAGCACCGCTCCCCGCTGACCCAGGTCGGCTCGCCGCGCGACCTGTCAATGCCTGCAGCAAAGCTCCTGCGGGGCCATCTGGCTGAAGCTGTGCGTCAGCTGAGCTGAGTGAGCTGCAGCAGATCGCGCAGTAGACATCTAGAAGACTTAAAAATCAAATTGACCAGAGGGGCCGCGCGCTTGTGAGGAGGGCAGAAAAAACGGCATGGCCGGTTGTTTGTTACAGAATCTGATTAGGATACTGTAGATCCAAAGCTCTCGATATGCTCGCTCGAGTCGCCGTGAGTCGCGGTGAGGCCGTGTTTACGACCAACACTGTGTTGAAGCAGGATAAACTGTTTAGCATCACACAAGACATGGTCAATCCAAGTTGAGTTGAGCTTGGGTGTGTGTTTTTTGTTGACACGTTTTTTGCCTGTCGAGTCGTATCCTCCTTTGGTGTTGGGCGCTCCCTCACAAGAGTCCATAGTGCAATTCGATCCGCAGAAAATGCAGAAACTGAATCAACGAAGATGTCTTATATACTGTAAAGAATCCCTTCGTGGTTGGGATGGTCCGGATATGTCTGGATTGCATTTCAAACAACAAATGCTCTTCTTCCAGGCCAGGCTTTAAGGTTAGTCAGTCTCCCACTGTTTGAAGGCTAGGCTAGCAGAGCATGGAATGCACACTGTTGGAGCGGACGCAGAAACGTGCAGAAGCACAAGCGTGCTGGCCCAAAGGTTTTGGATTTTCCGCAGAATTTTCAGACCCAAACCACTTGCGCAGCGTAAAAACAGGGGCACTTGGTGTACGATGTGCTGAGCCGCTAGGACGGGGGAACGAATCGTAGACTTGCACCTGAAAGAGAAACCCACCAGGAAGTCCACATTGGCGGTTGGTGACTAATGGGGGTAGTACTTGCATCCTGAGGTCTTGGCATATTCAAAGTATTTCCCCCACCACGGTGCTAAATGTTCATTCCAATCTCCTTTGCAGTTGCGACCTATTCCAAAGTGAGACCTATCTCCACACCTTGCGAAGAACGGGAATGCACGGACTCTGGCGAACCCGTGAAGAGGAAGTCCTCATCGACAAATACACGGGTGGTGGACCATGGTGGACCTATTTTTGTTTTGGGGAAGGTATATTAATATATATATATAGCTCTTTCATAAAACACTTTGGTCAAAAAAAGAAGCAGGCCTTGTTTGCCCAAGGAGTCGGGTTCGGATTCCTTCGTCCCAGGAAGACGGAGGCCCAGAAGGAGCAAGCACGTTGGTGCCTTAGCTACTGCGGGTGGCGAGCAATCACTCAGCAGCTGCGTAGCTGGAAGGCATCAATCACTTGCATCCACGAAGATAGACACCTAAAAGTTCGGTGGCCCTGGAAGGATTCTTTCATTGAGGCCTTATCTACGACATTGCTTCATGATCTTCATGGAAACCATGCTTTGATCACCTGGGCATCATGCTACTCATCACACCTCCACCTCCAGTGAGTCTGAAATCGCCCCAGGTCCTAAGCGGCCCAAGTGGCGGCTTTGCTTCCGCTTGGACCGGAGGATGGCCACGGCCAAGGAGTCCCTGGAGCCTCAGCTGCATCCAGCACCTGAAGGACCTGTGCGCGAGAAAACCCGGTTGGAGTCATGACCTCGTTGGAGGGACTAAAGTGACCTCATCGATCCTCATCTCAAAAGGTCACTTTGAAGGTCCTGGAGATGGTAGATTGAACAAGCAACAGTCGGTCTCAGAAATATCTAGACGGTGGTTCCGTCTCCCATCATTTCTGAATATTTCTGATGTCCAAACCAAGACCCGATGGGAGGGTAGTTCCTAACCCCCGAAGAGGGAATTAGACTCCAAGGAAAACCAACATGGAAGTGGAAAACCACCTGTTTGTAGAGGAACATCATCATCCAAGCCATGCACTTCATGATTGTTTCAGGGAGTGTATTGCAAAAAAACACTCAAGCATCAATGAGTTTTCCGAACAATCTGTCACTGGTGTGAGGGGTTATTGCTGCCACCCCCGCTCTGCTGTGCCGAGGAAGACCTTGCGCCCAAATACCAGCGCGACTTCTTCCTCACTGTGATAGATCCGCCGGGGACGCCAGATGGACAGACTTAGATCCGTGCTCGCAAGAGCTATATCAGTTTGGCAACTCCAGTGTTACTGCAAGTAGACCTTTACACACAATTAGACCTTGGCTGAGGGAAAGGAAAGGCGAAGGAGTCCGCGACAACAGTATTGTTTGAACAAAGACTCACTAGCACTTTACGAGAAAGGAGAGTCACAGCTTGTTCAACAGTTGAAAATCCGCAAAGCTTAAAATTGGTTGCAGGTACAATAAGATACTTCGTCCAGTATCTCATCTCATCCAAAAGAACACAGCTTTGTTAGCGGCTAGGTGAACGGTCGCCGTGCCCCCTGCGGATCTGTACTGAAAAGAACCAGAGAAAACGAATTAGGGTGATTAAGTATTAGAAAATGTGGTCGTTCTCCTTAGAGACAGGAGTTGACACACACACACAAGATTGCAGGCTGTTTGAGTCACCAATGGTGCAGAGTTGTACGCAACTTCACCACTTTCATGGCATCGCCTAACATTAGTCAAAGCAGAAGAGACGGGGCTAGGGATTGAATTCTTCATTGGCTTTCAAGTTTACATGCCCCAATCACACAACTTTGAAAAGAACACAACTCATTTATGTTCCAGGAAGTTTGACTATGTATATGCCCTTAGATCTCCTGGAACCAAAGGACGAACGATCATTTGGCTTACAATGACCCTTCGATCTCTTTCATGAGGCCACATACCATCTATGGGGCCCATGACAATCGATGCTCGGATCTCCGGCCTTCCCATTCGCGCCGCGGCCGTGCGGCGCAGGCCGTGGCACGGAATCTTCAAGGATCACCCACCGGCGCCCTTCTTCGCTTCCAGGTCCGATCCTCGTCCCTCCCTCCGTCCCTGGTCGGCGGCTTCGCGGGCGAAGCCGTCGCGGGTGCCAAAGATCGACCTGTTGGCAACCTGTTCGATGCGACTTGTTGGAAGTTCCTACTGAGCGGGTGTTCTGGAGGGAGGCGAGGGCACCACTGCTATTACGTTGTTGTTTGCGGTCCTGTTTTTGAAGCCTTGTTTGGTGAGATCTTCTTGCTCCAACAAGGGATTAGATGACTCTATGCCCTCTATGCCTCACAGCCAGTCCGACGAATAATTTCAAAGCAGATATCAGAAACCATTCAACATCATTCAACTATAAGATAGTACATATGGGTTTCCAAAATGGACACCCCTGCACCTGTGCTGGGTCCTTCGTCGGGTTCCATTTGTTGAAGCTCCTGACCGTGTTGGCATCGACCCGTCGATGTAGGTCCGCCTGTCATGTGGCAGATTTGATGGCCAGCCCGGGCCTCACTGATGAGCCCGCGAGCGGACGGAAGGAGCCCACGAGCGCCCAGAGGACGAGGACCGTGCCGGACGGCCGCGACTGGACAGATTGGTAGGTCTGTTTGCCGGGTCTATTGATCTTGCTACTGAAGGGGGGTTAAAGCATCCTGATACTGATATGGGAAAGCAACACATTCCATAGCAGACTGGACCTCTTTGGTGGGATCAGCAATGGTCAAAAGGGCCAGTGGAGAGAAGCCTGACACAGAAGCCTTTATGATGGATACAATTCTATGATGTTTAAACATGGTTAAACCTTCCTGTTGAAGATGTTTCATCAACAGTAGTACAATTGGGAAATGCTGGCGGATCATGGATGTTGATCACAGAAACAAGGGCTGAGATTTCAGGCCGTCGACCGTCCAAGCCGCTCTTAGATGCGTTGAAGAATGGGCTATTCTTCCTGTCCGTAGGAAGTGAATGAAGCGATCATATACTGAAAAATGGGTTGGGGCTTATAGTATACAGTGACATGTTATTAGTACAACTACGCTTGTTTTTGGTTGACAGACCGCTGCTGCTGTAGAGTTTTGTTGATAGATCGTTCACAACGCTTTCCTAGCTGCTCGCACTAGGTCGGCACATGATCTCACAGCTGCCCGGGGGCCCAGCATCGTTGTTGGCGCATGTTCGCACATCTCGTTGCCAGGTGGTAAGGTCAGTTTTTTGAAGACCGCAGCGTGTTTGGCCAAAATGTTCGCCTTGCTTCAAATTCGGTGCCTGGTGATTGCAGGGCGGAGCAGGTCACTCCCTCAAATCAACTCTCCAGGGCTGCTCCAATCCCAGGCGTCAGGGGAAGGTCTTCCAGACTATACAATCTCATCTCTCCAAGCCTTTTGGAACACGATGTAGTCCGCTGCACCTGAGGCCGGGCAGAAGCTATGAAGGGAAGGCTGTGTGTGTCATAGGCGACTGCGCCGGCAGTGAAGCAGCGGAGCCGAGTGGAAGCGGAGCGGAGGAGGTGTTCCGTGAGGGGTTTAAGACGCAACACCGCTCCGCTTGGTGATCACCAACAAGTTACGAAAGGGTGATATTTTCTGGAATCCGAGCCAAAGCTACTATAAAACCAAAGTTGTATGTATATGCACAACTCGGAGATAATTACACTCGTCAGGTGAAGCACAGGTTTAGCCAGCAGCTTAGCCATTCCTGCCACTCTGGTAGGAAACATCCCTTGCATGCATATTTGCCCAAGAAATGCTGCGGCATTGATCAGAGAACCGGGGCATGCCACCAGCCATTCAGCTGTACCAGCTCAAGGTTCTGTATGCTGGGCCAATGAAATGCGTTGTTGATCGTTGTTGTCATTGTACTTTAAGTTTTGTTACTGTAATTTTGTAATATTTATTCAGTGTATTAGAACTTGGTCGGACTTATGGTATTATCATATCCTTTACCTCGTGGCCGACGACGTCCAGACCAACGCCCAGACCCATGTGCCAGGCGCTGAGTGTATGACCGCCGGCCTGGTGTGTGCAATGCTGGGTGCCAAGGTGATGTTCGCCTGGTGGCCCAGCTGTGTGTTGTTGAGGGACACCGTTCGAATCCCACCGAGATGGTGGGGTGGGTGGGTGGGTCGGTGAGTACCCATGGGTCAGGTTGGCACGCGGGCCTACTGGAGGATTCTTGTAGGTTCGGAGCTGGTTGAAAGGTCAACAAATGCTATTCATTGCTATTATCTGATGAAAGCTGACAACGGAATACAGCAACCAGGGCTTGTTGTGCCGGACAACACCCCTTCAACGCACACTCACCCTGAGATACATCAGGATCAACACCACTGTTCGTTATACAATCGAAGATCATCGACGTGTTTTGTGGATTCGTGTGACACCGTTTGTTGCAGTGTCTATTTCCTGTAGCAGGAACTGCCGCAATTCCACCAACCGACCAATCCAGCACAATATAATAGCAATCCATTTCCCACCAAATTGGAAGAGTTGCAAACATAGACCCACCTGATGTCCCAAGTGCAAGTGTCTATTTGATAGATTCACTGGGCAACCGGGCAAGACCCAACGTTCTATCTCAGATGAGAAGCACCGTCCAGGTATGCGAGCGGAACCTGGAGTCCTACTTCCAGCACAATGTGCGCCTGTCGTGATCTTAGAACTTCTACATGTTCCAGACACTCAAAGCTCATTCATTCAGAGTCTTAGAATTTGTTGCACAGTGGTCTTGAGTGGGCACCATGGTCACACCAATCAGCTGGATGCATCCTTTGGCAGCACAGTTTTGCTGACCCAACCTCAAATGAATCATGGATGACCTGAGTGAAAACATGCAACTGCCTTCGGATCCACGCTCACCTGCACCTCAACCATGCCTGCCTCAACAGTGCTTCTTGACCCGTGGGGAGTTCGTTGCGCGAGGTTCCGGCGGGACACCTTGGACTATACCAAGACCAAGGGCAAGACGCTGTTGGTCACCTCCTGTAGCCCTGGGAGGAGCCAAAGGGGTCGACCGCTGACGACGGGCCGTTCTGACAACGGTGGCGCCAGAGACCGCATGGTACATGGTACGTGGTAGTTGGAATCGGAGACCGCTAAAACACGTGGAACCGTGATTGAACAAGAGTCATTCAACAAGTGAATAGACAAGTAGTTGAACAAGATAACAAAGAGATAAGAGGAATAAGAGGTATCAGGAAGAGTCGTATAGCAGGTGTCAAGTGCAGGGATGGTGAGTTGTGAAACTCGATCGTATCAAGGGTTGCAATCACAGATCACTGACAAAGCTGTGACGACGATGCGCTTTGACAATCGTTCGGTCATTTCTAAAGAACAACACACTTGTTCCTATTCGTTGCTTGCTTTTTTAATATTTTAGACTTGCACTAAGCTTGCGTTTGCAAGACTTATATGCGCACGACAAAACACCAAAATGTCCCACCGGGACATTTTGGTCCAAGAGAAGTGCGTGTGGAATCGCACTGCCGGAAATGTTGAACTCTATAGAGCCTGTCGCCGCAGCATTTCCATAGGCCCCATTGCATGCCATTGCAATGTCCACCACTCCAGAAGGATTTGCTCAGGTGAACCCTTAATTTGGAGATTGAGACCATAGACAGTGCCGAGTTGACAAAGAGCTGCCTTTCAGGCAGATGCCCTCCAGTGCATTTTGTCGAACGTGTGATGGTCCAGGCTAAACATCTCCTCCTTGTGAAGCCCTACACCGCAGCTGTCCTCATGGAATTTGGGAGGCTCCCCACCCATCGCTTCGGCCATCCTTGGATCGCACCCTGTCGCAGCTGACTCGACCCACCCGGATCGCTCTAGGGCACCTTAGACCGGTCTTGTCCAGCTCTGGTCACCGACAGATCGCTGGACCGGATCCGTCACCGAATCGGTTCCCCCTTTCCCACCTGGCCCCCTGAAAGGCATGTTGGGCTGTGAGGGGCCAGGCCGGGACCACTCGATTCGTGGCTTCACTTCGTGTGCCAGGTGGCTGGTGTAAGTTGCTGTCTGGCACACGATGTTTGACTTCTGAACTTTTTGATGCATTTACGCAACCACATGCAACCTCTGAACCACAAGGGACCGAAGTGTCCTACCACCAACTCCACGCTTCTGACAAAGTGGTTTCTTCATGGTTTCCATGCACTGTCCATGTGAGGAATGCCAGCTTTGGAGCGGCTGCCCTTTGTGAGAAGCTGCAGGCTGGTGATGAAGGGTTTAGCATGCCGGATATCCGTGATGCCAGTAAACCGCTACATGTGCCTTCAGTCATGGGGTGTTTGGGGGAGGACCGCTGGAGGAAAATAGCAGCTGGACCTTGACATTTGGCAACCACGTTCGTCGCACACTTGGAATTGTACCCCATGTGGTTGGTTGAATGCACCAATGTCATCAATGATTCACGGTGTCAGGTGCCTTCCATTGACATGATCGTTGGAAGCTTAGCAATGGACAACCAGTGGTCACTGTGCTGATGCTGCAGAGGACACATATACATGGACATATTGTGAAATAGAGCTGCTTTGTAGTTGTAGAGGTGGTTGAATGGTGGTTGAACAACATTGATACCTCCACAAAAGTGCACCCAAGTCTTGAAACCCAGCTTGCGTCGCGTATGAGATTCTGAAGTATTGATATACCTATTATATATATACATATAATTGTATACATGTATTTATATTCAATACGTCTTTATCAAAGCACACACACGTCATGTGGATTTGTAGGGCGTTTCTAGTAGACAAGGTTTTTCCGCAACTTCATAAACCATTTGAGCCATTGTGTGTTGCAACTGCAACTATGTAATGAAGAGCATGTCCCCCCAAATTCAATTGTACGTATGTTGTTCACCTGCTTGCATGACTGTCCGAAGTCCGGGTCGCCCAACCACAAGAACGACCCAATGGACACACCAAACTTCTTGCCACCAACGGGGCGCTCCTGGCATTAAACTTCTTGCTACCAACGGGGCGCTCCTGGCATTATTAGGAACAAGAAGCTACGAACGTAACAAGGACATCGCTACTAGGAACAAGAAGCTACTAGGGGCTCCTGGCCTTACTACTAGGAGCAAGAAGCTACTAGGAGGAAAGGGCATCGCTCTTAGGAACAAGGAACATAGCATACAGGAGGTCTTGGGATTTGTCGAAGCGTTTTGGTGGCCGGACTGACTTCCGGACCGTCCCGAGGTCTTGACGGAGCTCAGCGCCGCGCGGGTGGTGCTCGGACCGAACGTGGAGGAAGGGAAGGATGTGCAGAATTTGAATAGTATATTTAAAAGAACAAAAAGCAGTTCTGGCTGGAAATATGGTTGGAATATGTTGGAATTCTGGTGCAGGGTAGGGGTAGTTGAGGCTCGTGTATTGGTTGTTTGTTTTGTTTTTTTCCATTGTTCTTGTTGGGAAGAGTATGTTCCAACCGCAGGCTATAACACGTTCTTTGAATCGTTTCAGTTGTTTCTTTCTGGATAATGTTTTCCAGAATCTCAACTGCCAGGACTTCCAATCGATTTTCGAACTTCTTGGACTTTCATTTCAACAAAGTGAATTTTGAATGGAAAACAAGGTACTGTACAGAGACACCATGTGACAATCCAATTTATCCGTTGTTCTTCGAGCTTTTCTCCAGAACTCCCTACACACATGGAACAAGAACGCTACGTTCAGAGCGGTCAGGGCATCGCTACGAACGGAGCGATCGGACGCTATATGAACGGGGCTCCTGGCATCGCTACGAACGGAGCAAGAACACTAGTAGTTTTGACCTTCCATGCGCTCGATCCACATGATCCCCAAAACCACTTCCCTCCCCGGCCGCTTGATGTGTTATCGCCTCTTCCTCTCAGCTGGGGGACGTTGGCGGCCTGCTGGGACGCCGCACGGAGGCGCCAAACGGTCCGGTTGGGCCGGGGTGGGCCCCAAACAGGGGTGCCAAACTGTTTGGATGGGATCCTGCTGGGTTTACTCGTTTGAATACTTTCAGAGTGGGAGGATGCTCGGGGAGTCTTTGGAAACAAAAGTCGGGGTGCCAGGTGATGGTGATTGATTCGCCTTTAGGTTCATTTTGGATCTTTTTGGGAACAGCTGGTCCTATTTTGGGATGAAATACGGAAAAGGAGACTTGTTGCCATCATCATCATCATCATCATCATCATCATCATCATCATCATCATCA